CTAGCTTTTCTGGAGATTAACGCCCAATCAACTGAGGCGAACTACCCGCGACTTGTATGAGCAGGGGGCGGGATGTGTCAGCATTTGTCATTGACAACGCTCGGCACAAAAGCTAGCGAATAGCGACCAACCTTAACTGCACCGTGAAACAACAACCCACCCCCATTCCGTGTTCCAGCTGGGAGCAAACACGGCCCGCGGAGATCGGAGAGCCCACCACCTTGCCGCACTTATTTATTGGTCGTTTATATCCGCATAACTGTGGGTCCCCCGGCGGCAAACACATGGTAGCGTACCAACAAAAATGAATTATCCGTACGAACACCCATTTATAACGACCTATAGCCCTTTTACAGTAAAACTGTGTGGACGATGTAGCACGATAAACAGAGATACAGTCTATTTGCTGAAGTTCACCGGTACAAGGCAAGTAAAACAACCTACGACGAGAGGGAGCAAACAAGACTGTAGCGCCTTAGGGTGACCGCCAGCACTGCCTACACACTGACACATCTCTAGAGGTCTGGAAGCGTAGATGTGTGGCCAGTTACGCGTGGTTTGAGCGAGAGGATGGCGCGCGGGGTTCTCTGGATAGCGCCGCGAACGGTGATGCTGTTCGGCGGCGAAGTGGAGGGTTCGATCTGCTGCGCTGCATGTACAGTAAGAGTCCATCGTGGGTTTGAAGCGACACGTGCCACGGTTGCACAGAGCTGATCTCACTCCTCCCCGTTCTTGGTGCTCAGCCTGTCTGCCCGGGCAATGACATAAGGTATCAGATCGATCTACCGAACAATGCCAGTATCGCTTCCCTCAGTCCGATAAGCCCCATTTGGTGTGCGTGTGAGTACACAGTGCTATCTCAGACGAGATCTCTCACAGTAAACTAAGACCATCCGTGAATGTTGTCAATGAATATCTCAAAATGTCAAATCAGTTGTTGTGGTAATGAAGGACCTCCAAAAGTTACTGAGTTTTAATACATATTCCTTTAATTTGAAATTTCCTATAGTTGTCAACTAGGGCCTGTGCGATTATGGGTAAAAATCATAAATCACGATTATATTTGGTCAAATAACTCGATGAATCAGATTATTAACAAACAAACATTACTCCATTTACTGTGAAAACATGCGCCTTTATTTACAGGAACAAAAAATGCGGAACAACTATGTTGATTTAACAGTTCACCACTGACCGTTCATACGTATCCTTCCAACTCGAAAAAAACCATAAAGCTTAATAGAATTACGAACTAATTACAAAATAAAAACAATTCGGTTTCTTATTTACTCGATGATTAAACTATATTACGCGATTATCGCACAGAACACTAATAACAAAAAAACAACATTTCAACATAGAAAATACACCAATATCAAAAAAAGATATACGCATATACGGAGAAGTAGTAAAAACGACGATACAACAGAGTGGGGGAAATGAATAAAACAAAAACCATATAATAAAAAGAACAATAGATCACGACAGCGCGAGAAATCGAGACAACAGTCCGCGGCCCCTCCACTGCCAGACTACGCGCCCTCCTGTGGTCTGAGCGCTGCGTCTTCAGCATCACACTCCACCGCACGAGAGGATGCCCTCGCTCTGGGAAGCAGGGCATCCAGCTCACTGCCCAGGGCAGCAACGGAGGGCGGGCAGCAGAGAGATAATACCATTGTTGTACTAATCTTGATCATGTTTTCTTTAACCTTAGCTGCACTAGAGTGGGCTCTTTTTTGACCCCCGCTGAGGTCTGGTTTGTGCGTGAAGTATCTTTGTAATTACCATAATTTTCTGGACTATAAGCGCGCACCCAAACTAGAACGCAGCAGCTAAATTATAAGACATACATACACAAAAGGCCCGCACTGGACTGATAAGCCCAGGTGTTTTAATGTAATTACGCGCATTATGTAAGCGGTTCGTGCACAGAGGGGACAAAAATGAGAGAGATCAAGAACAAAGAATGGCTGATATATAGAAGAGAAACTACAAAATATATATAAATATCAACAAACCAAGTTGCATATTTGCATAAACGTATTCAAAGTGAGTAACCATTTAGTGAATAGTGACTAACAGAACAACTGTGCTGTGTCAAACTGTACTCCGTATCCAGCATAGCGTTTCAGACTCACACAACTTTTTCAACTATTCAAACTATAAACGGTCCGACCATCCAGCGCCGACAAAAAAAAAAAAAAAACAATAACATAGCCAACGAGTTCACCAAAGATAGGGAGGACACATAAACTCAAAGCATAAACAACACCACAAACATCGTTCTAGAACTCATCAGAGACCACACTACACGAAATCCACAAATATATACATACAGACAAAACAAAAGACTCACATCATAACAGACCAGCTATAGATCCATGCTGAAGCAAACCGCGCCAAGCTAAATATAATATAGAGAAGAGAGAGCGCGCAGGACACGAGCAATAAGAGCCCATAGAAAGATAACGCGACTGTCTCACACGTCAGCTAAAAATACACATAAGATAAGCACAACACGTTATAAACACAGAGAGCAGTACGAACATATGGGAAAAAGAACGCGGAACATACAATGAGAACAAGACATATTAAACGGATACAAATATATATTTTAAACAATATATACAAACACAGACATACATATACACAATGCATTAATAGATAATCATAGCCAATAAAACACAAATAAAATTATGTAAGATCATAAATGGATATTAATCAAAAAAACCCCAAGCCTTCCATAAGTGGGTCAAAAAGTGAGCCCTCGCCTGCATTTCTATGGGATCCTTCCTGATTCTTATCACCTGTTGCCTGTCAGGATACATTCCACCTGTAGACCACACAGACTACATCACACGTGACACCTCTCAGGAGATTATTTTACTAACGCAAGGATCTGATACCTGTCAGTATACATACATATACCATAATAAATAATACATACATATAATTAATGTCCTGTAAGGGTTATGACAACGCGACTCAACACACCCTCGCTTTACAACTATACCCCCGCGAAGGCTTAGGGTGGGGGGTATAGGACTATCCCACTAGATCAACGGACATGGATTGGATGGGGGTGGGTATGAGTACAGAAGAGGGAGAAGAGATGAGTTTTGAAAAGGATTAAGAATACTGTGAGGGTCTCAGAATAGCGGAGATATTTGCATCAACTCAATCCCTTTCAAACGTTTTTTTGAAAATGTAAAACAAGAAGTGTTATTTCTTAACCAAATGACGAAAAATGACAAATGGGCATAAAAACACATATGTCTAATAGTGTTCGCTTTTTGAACCCGCTTATGGAAGAGTGTAGGGTCCCAGTCACTCGTGCATCTTAAGGGTTAAACCTATTTGACTCAATGTTATCTTTGTCAGATCCAAGGTACTCAAGCGCAAACTCTTCTGTATCGCGCCGTGCGTTTACAGCACACGGAGAAGCTGACACTCAACATTTGTGGAACATATTTGACATACAATCTAAGTCACTGCACACGTGGGACATATCCTACGGGAGCTGAGTAATTGGTTGCCTCAGGGACATGTGTATACACTTGACAGCAGGCCCGGGGATCAACCCTAGACCCTCTGACCCATCCCCCCCCCCCAGGTTGACTCAAAGGTGAATAGAATGTTACCATACTGAGGGAGGTCAGTTAGTAGAGCTCCTGGGGGCTGCGGGTAGCCAGTTACCTCTGCTCCTGGAGCCTGCCTTTGATGCACCACCAAGAGGACAAGCAGGTTTCTGCTATGTCTGTTGAGAAGTAAAAGGTCAAACAAACACATTTATGATTATTACCAACCAGTACATTTCAATACATCCAGATGATTCAATGACTTAACCACGAGGTACTGAAACGCTCAATCCATGTACTCGGGGGATGTCTAAGCTTCAGCATGTGGCACCAACACACACAGATACAACCGCTTCTTTAAGCCATATTAATATAACAACCTTACACGTTACTTTTGCTCTTGACCATACTAGCCGAGCTTACCAGCTTGTAGCAAGACTTTCACGTGTCGCGCTAACCGCTGACTGAAGGTCATTGTCCTGCATTTCTAATATTCTCCAAAGACTTGAGACCCTGGAATATATTCTGCTCACGTTAAGGGTACGGTAGGTAAGAAAGGAAGAAACCAGCTTGGAGTGCCGCTAGAATTTTGAAAGTAAGCAGCCGCAAAAAACATCTGCCCTTCCTTCGCACTTTCCTGTCTACAGAGACCCTCCTCCAACACACACAACGGCGCAATGACCCAACTGAGGGCACGAGATAAGTTCTGTGACAGATGGAAGGCTGACAGGCAGTAGGCCATCCAGTTACCTTCTTAGCCGGGCGGCCAGATGGTCTGGTGTCGTTTTTACAGCGTCCACGGCTTCCACCAGATTGAGAATATGTTTTACGTATTTATTCTGTCCAAAAGCATTTAAATGTATTCTTGCTTCAGGATTTTAAGCGCTGTCCATGAGAATACTAACAACAAAGTGTTCTGAAGTGAATTACTATACCCCAGCCTCAACTGAACTTTATGATTAGATTTCCAGTGCAAACCAATTAAAGGCTACAATCTCTAGTAACTGATAGGGCTGGTCGATTATGGCAAAAATCATAATCTCGATTATTTGGGTCAATAATTGATATCACGATTATTAAAAACGATTATCCATTTACTTTGAAAAAATCAATTTATTGCAAAAAATGTTGAACGGTATGTTTTGAACAGTTTATTACCCTTAACTTTAATTATAACTCAACTGAAAAACACCAAAAAATAAAATTAAAATACACATTTAAAAAAAAAAGAAAAAATCGTTTTATTTCGATGTTATAGTTTTCATAATCGTTGCAAGCCAAAATCGTAATTGCGATTAAAATACGATTAATTGAGCAGCCCTAGTAACTGAGCACAACAACACCCTGTGTAGTGAGAACATACAGTACAATTGTATGCTATATTCTCGTTTGAACATTTGCTTGTGTGTGTCTGTTACTCACTCTGTTTCATAAGCTGGACGGCCAGGCAGGGGCAGTTGGAGCACATCAGGGAGAACATGCGCACCACCATGATGAACATCCCCGAGCTGAGCACCGGAGGCGTCACCACCAGCAGCTGCTGGATGTTGGTCAGCAGGTCACGGGACGCCACCTCCTGCAGAAGGTTCTGTGCGTACACAGTAATATTGAACGTCGGGAGTTCGATAGCAGTCAACACAAACACAGCAAACAGTGTGGCAAGTCTTACAAACCTCCTCGTGCTGAAAGTTGTCCACCAGTCTGGCGAAACAGAGGCAAGTGCTTTCGACTGATTTTTTATCCTGAAAGAAATGTTTAGGAATATAGCCATTAGTGAATCTCTACAATAAGTTACCCTGAAAGAAATGACTTGATTCCAGTTTAAAGGACAACAGTAATTGGAAAATAGATGGACTGAGTGTAGAACATTTCTTATCCGTCTTTTATTCTTCAGACAAGCTCATGTGTGCGTCAATTATGTTGACAAAGCGGCACCTCAGTGGCTCTAACTACAAAACTATTTCAAGTGTTTCTATTTTACGATCAAACACGAAAATATTGAGGCAAAGCTACATTTTTATGCCTACAGAAATCCAGCTGTGTGACTTACAATCTGTTTCTGTTATGCAACTGTGGCATTATTTACTCCTCATACAACTTCTACAAACTGAGCCAGAGTACATCAGTGCAGATCTTTGTGATGGGAACAACTATCAGGAACAACTGTTGATGTAGTTCCTGGCAAACTGAACTGTGTACATTCAACACATGACTAAGCACACAGGTCATACAACATTTATTCTCTCTTTATCTGTATATGATCTCCATTTAAATTGACATGTCATACAATGTTCCATCCCCTACTTCCTTAATGCGATTAAGATGCTGTTTGTATCGACTTTTCTTTCAGTGGTCATATAAATGTACAAAGCTAATAAGAATGGTACACGCAGGCCTCGTTCCCTCATTGATGTGAAAACAATGAACAAACCCATTAAGGTATAACTTGGCTTCTTATTTCCAACATGTTTTTCCTGGAATGAGAACTCCACTAGAGTCGAACCCCTGCTGTGATGGTGTTGCATTTTATACTTGTGTGACTTGGAGAATAAACGCACCTGGTGTGTGAGTCTCTGAGTCAACAGTGGCAGAGAATCAGCAACAAAGTGGAACTCGTCTGGAGTGATGCTCTGGCAGCAGTTGGCTGCGATGGCCAGGGCGTTCCTCTGAGCGTTGATGCTGAAGAACTCCAGGTACAGCAGGCAGTCAGCGAGGCCCCCCTGTGAGCAGGACATGAAAACAGTGTTGCTGAGCGTCATTGTGGCGGACAGACAGGACAATTTAAGGGGGAAGACAAAAAGGACACTTACAGCCTGCAAAATGGCTTTGCTGTGTCGCCTTGACAACATCTCCAGGGCGGTCAGGGCCTGCTCTGCTACGTCAATGAACTGGATAACCTGCAGCTGCACACACCGAGGTGGAACAAGGCATTAGCATATCAAAAAGACACCGTTGCAAATGAACAAGCGATCGAGGACAGAGAGGTGGTGTCTTACCTTCTCCAGGAAGACAGGGATCGCATCGACCACCACAGCAGAGGAGCGGGGGAGCGCCTCCATCATATACGTGAGTGCACGAGAGGCGTGATTCATCTGCGGGCACGGATCACACGCATGAATAAACAGGCATTACAAAGAATAGAAGACACAAACAATGAGCAATAATTAAAGAAATATCATTAATACTCACAATATCAAAGTTATGCTCCATTTGCAACAGTGTAATCTGTGAAGGAAAAGTAGAATGTTCATTTGGAATTAGAGTAGTGGTAGTCAAAGATCACAGGAACAACATTTAACAAAAGTATTTTTCATTTTCTATGAAAAGCGTTCTGATCGCACAATTCAGAATGAGAAGACCTTAAAGTCCACTTGGTACAAATATCTATTTATGTAATAAAACCACGCAACGCAATATCACTGAGAGTGACATATTATTCAAACCGTTTTTAATTTTTTTTAAATAGTCATGATATAGAGTGCCACAGTGACGCGTCCTAAAACGCGGAAGTAAGCATTTTACCACTTCTGGTTCCCTGGTCTTCATAGATTTAGGAAAATATCTGGAAATAAGGTCTGTGGTTGAGACACATTTAAGAGACGGATCACGTTTTGTTCTACGACATTAAATACATCAGCAGTGACCAGGGATTTTGGGCCCCATGAAAATATATCACATTGGTTACTTAAAAATGTTTTTCTTAATGTTCAAAAATTATCTGGACCCCTGTCAGTCACGGGCCCTTAGAATCGTCCTAACTTTTTACCCCCTTACGGCGCCCCTGGCTGTGACCCCACTGGTGATTTTTGAAGAGTTGACGTGTCTGAAAAACTATGGTTGTTAACAAGTGGCTGAATAGGACTACAGAAGTTGTCGAGGATGTTGTACCGCAGGTCTTTCCTTCCTGCAGCGGTCAGACTATACAACCAGCACAGCCCCTAGTTGACGCCCAACCCCCACACAAACCACAACAGACTATATCACCCCTTGCTGCTAAATACCAACAAACTATGTTCAAAATGTGCACATGCCGCCTAAATCTTAAGAACTGTTACAGGATGTGTTTTTTTTTTAATTATGTAACTTTTTATTTTTTAATGATATCATAACTTAGTACTTTTTTTAAATGCATGTCACATATTTAACATATGCAACATTAAGCTGCCTGTGGCTCTTTTTCCTGCTGTAACTACCGTGGGACTAATAAAGGTATTCTGATTCTGTACGTCATTACACCGAACACGTAAACACTCCTCAAAGTTTGTTTGCCCTGTTCTGCTTGAAAGCAAGTCACTGCCTCCTGCAAACGGTTCAAACAAACGCTTCAACTTGTACCATTTAGAGTCTGTAGTTTTGGATATGGATCTGAAGTTGGCGTGACGTTGAAGCAGCGACCCTGCTGTAGTTCCTTTATAGCATAACGTTAGCATTTTGCTTCTGGCGACTAGATTTATGATTAAAACATTATAAAAGTAGACATGTGGAGATGATCCGGCTGAACAAAACGTGATCCGTCTCTTAGATGTGTTTCAACCTCAGACCTTATTTCAGCTATTTTCCAAAACCCTATG